AGGTGTGCTGAAGTGGAGTGTGTTGAAGTGCAGCAACAGCATACCATTTTAGCAGCCTCAGCTTCACCCTCAGCCTGTATAATCTTCTGTCTCTGGTCCTGTTTGGCCTTCTCTACATAAAACTGAGCCCTTTGGGCCTCCTGCTGGGCTACATGTCAACAAGAGAGAACTCACTCACTCTCTCTCTCTCTCTCACACACACACACACACAGATATATATATATATATATATATAAAACTTATTTGCTTATTTACTAATTGTTGGATTTAACAAATGTAATTAAATGGCTTGTTCCACAGCTAACCATATTTAAATCATGCTCATACTTTTTAACTCAAATATATGTTTTCGCAATCAACCGATTTATGCAGATTTTACACTATTTAAATAAATGCGTTATTGAAATAAAACCAAACGGGTGCAAATAGTTCATAAACAGCCATGTTTTTCTGACTGCAGAAAGTTTACACGCATATGCATTAATATGCAAGTTTGTTAAAATGATGTAATCCAAATAAATGGAAATTTTATATGAAATTCAAACACACAAATCTGCATTTTAGGCCTAAAGGTGTGTATGTTTGGAAATGTTGTGATCAAATGTGTCTGTTGCCATGGTAACCGAAATATTCCCAAAGGAATCACCACTGAATCAAATCTAAACTGAAGTGGAATCTGAAGGAAAGCTTGTGAATGATGTCAGCAGCCAGTGCTGGTTAATTATAAACCTCTTCAGCAGTCAGTGACACGGGTTACACCGGAGCTGTGTGTTTGCTGCAGTGTGTGTTCAGCGTTTTCATCACTTATTTACAGTCCTGGCTCTGTATATCTTTCGCTTAACCCTGACTTAACTAGCAGTTTATACAGACAGCCCTGATCAGACTTCAGCTTCTGAGACGCTTTGTGTTCTGGGTTCATGTGGATTCAGTGCCGTTTTATTTTAGCATTTAGTTTTATAGTATTTATTAATATTTTGAGTTAATTTTATATTTCCATTTTAGTTTCAGTTTTTTTTGTTTGTTTGTTTAAATTTCAGTTTAAGTACTAAAATTATTCAAATTAAATTGTTAGCAAAAATTAGAAATGTTGCCTTGTCAACTATCTGGATTATTTAAAGTATAACTGAAAGTTTTCTTATTTTATTTAATTTCAGTTAGTTTTTTTATTTCAATTAATGTAAATGTTTTTAAATTGATTTAGTTAATGATATTATTTAATTTAGTTTTTGTCAGTTTTATCATTTTATGTATCTCTTAGTTATTTTAGTAATTCAACTTTAATAAAACTTTTAAATGTTGCCTTTGACAACTAACTGGAATATATATTGAAAGAATAACTGAAAGTTTTGTATAAGTTTATTTTGTTTATTTAATTTACTTTTACTTCAGTTCACGTTTATTTCAATGATGTACATGTTTAAGTTTCAGTTAACAATAATGTTGTGATTTTGTCAGTTTTAATAAGTTTTGTTTATTACTTTAATTTAATTTAATTTCATTTAAAATTGAGTAATGTTAGTACTTCGTCTAGAAAGGCTGCATTAGCAGCAAACTATTTGCTGAAAACATTGTTTTTCAGTGGTTTTATTTAATGATAACAACACTGCTCCCTAGCAGTTCAAGTCAAGTCACCTTTATTTATATAGTGCTTTTAACAATACAGGTTGTGTTAAAGCAGCTTTACAGTATTAAATAGGAAAATATTGTGTCAATAATGCAGAAGGACAAAAGTAAACACTCAATTTTCAGTTAAAGGCATCATCCAGCTCAGTTCAGTTTAAATTACGACTGAGATGCTTGATAACTAACTTTCTTAAGCGCAGCTTTGAGCCAAGAATTTTTTTACACTTACGTCAATTCTTAGCAGCATTCTTGAGAGTATTTCTCAGAGGCTTGATAAATCCGGGCCCGGATGTGATTGGTTAATGATCTGTGCTGTTACTGCAGGTTTGTGTTTGGATACCTGATGGTGTGTTTTGTCTCTCCTGCGTCTCCAGCACGATCAGCTTTACACATGGGCAGCCATCTGTCAGCCTCCTCCGTCTCTGGAGAGTCTGGAGGGACACCTGAAGAGCCTGTGGCCCCTGACCAGACCCGGAGCCCAGGACCGGCCCCAACCCAAATACACCGAGGATGGTATGAACTCTCTCTCTCTCTCTCACACACACACACCCCCACACACACTATCACTCACTCACACACACTCGCACGCACGCACGCACGCACGCACGCACGCACGCACGCACACTCTCACACACACACTCACACTCTCACACACACACACACGCGCACTCACACTCGCACTCACACTCACACACTCACACTCACTCACGCACGCACGCACGCACTCTCTCTCTCACACACACACTATCACTCACTCACACACACACTCTCACGCACTCTCACACACACACTCACACTCTCACTCACTCACACGCACGCACGCACACACATACTCACACACTCTCACACTCACACACAAACACACACGCACTCTCACACACTCTCACTCACTCTCACTCACTCACACACACACACACACACACACTCGCACGCACT